GTTGACCAACCCACGGTAGGCCTTTTGACCAGTTGACCTCTCCTTTTGTCATTGGGACCGAGAGCTGAGCCGCGGGTGGGGCGACCGCTGACCGGAACCTCGTCCAGTTGACCCTGACCCTTGTGGAGACCCCTACCTGCGCGCCCAGCCCGTCTATGAATCCCCTAGCCAGTTGACCCCGGCACACCGTGGACCAGTTGACCCTCTCCGCACTCCGCTTGACGGGTTATTAGTTTACTAGGGCGTACGCAATAAGTTTCTGAAGGATAGGCTGAGGCACGTAAGGCTATGAAACTGAGTTCTCTCGCCAGACTATTTCAATAGTCATGGTGCCACTTTGCACCTTCGATCACTCACCATTCAGGCCTTCATACACGAAGTTATCATGTACAGCACCCTAGTAAAAATATCCGTCTTCCCCACCATTTTCCACCTACTAGATTTTCAGCCACCACCACTTGTATCTTTAATTACTTCAACCACGTTCGCTTAATCTCTCTGTAATTACTGTTATAATGACAAAAAGTAATGAATACTCTGATTTTGTACGTGGTATAGTTAATGGACTTCATTTAGCTGGGAAATCGTAATGAGAGATCGCCGATATTGTTTAAATACCTTATAGTTCAGTGTAAGACATTCTCAATCATCTTGAGTTATAGAGCTCCTGACGCTCTAATGGACCTGAAAAACTATTAAATACTCTAAAGAGAAGACTCGTGTTAGAGACCGACCTTACGTACGGCCAAGGACGGGGTGCGCCGAGGAAGGTCTATCGGGTAGGACGGCCTAACAGAGGAACATACGGGAAGAAAAGGCTGCGGACAGGTGCAGTACGTGACTTACAGAAAGGGGAAGTACGACATGTCGACATACTTGACTAGACTATACTAATGTACTAACATACTACCCTCGGTTACCTATTTAGGACGGACCTTTATTTAGGACGGACCTTATAAGTATATAGCTACGCTTACTACCCGTTTATAGTTACACTCTCTCGTAGCTAATTCATGATATCTACTTCACGATACTATTCTAAATTCACTTGACTATTCATACCTTGCGTATTCTCGACTTAGCTTATGTAATTAAGGACCTATGACTGAAGAAGCCTAAATCTGTTAGGCCTAAATAAGAAGCAGCACTAACATATTAGACTACACTATATTAATATACTAATATACTATCCTTAGTTACTATTAGGAATAGCCTACTTTATCCTTATCTATTATAGTACCTAAATCCTAGTAATAATTACTAGGATTCTTAGTCTTTTTACCCTAGGTAGGAGATCGAGGTACTATCTGTGACAGTTACCTATTCGGGAAAGATATTATAAGTATATAGCTACGCTTATTACTCTTCTATAGTTATACTCTCTCGTAGCTAATTTATAACATCTACTTTACTATACTATTCTAAAGTTACTTAACTGCTTATACCTTACGAACTCTTTATCTAGCTCATGTAATAAAGGGACTATGACTAAGGAAGCCTAACACTGTTAGGCCAAACAGGAAGTAGCTCTGATAGTTAGATGGGAGTCCTAACATCGGGGTGATAATTGAGGTCGAAACTTCTATTGTCTAGTCTAAAAGTCTATACGTCCGTTAATTCGGCGCGGGTTCGCTTCAGGCACTGAACTTCTGTTAGGACTCCCACCTAACCTAGGCAGACAGGCCAGGCAAGCTAAGTAAACAGGCTAAGCGTAGGCTAAGCGCCTGCGCCTCGGATAAGTAGCGGTCAGCATGCCGCTCCTTTACTCAAAGCCTTGAGGGCTTTGAGTCTCTGTATATAGGGCCTATAGCTATCTATTCCAGGTGTTATCTCTTCTATTGATCCAGTCCCCCTTGCTAGGGGCTCTTACAACATCAAGTTCCAGGATCCGGTCTACCGACTGACCCTAGACTTTGGAGAACCCCGCCCGATTCTGAGTGCGAAAGTCGCTCCTTTTGGGGTTGAAAGTCAACGCCCTGTCCATCATAATTCGAGATTGGATGGCCCCACGGTATACTTGGACTGCCCCCTGTGCCGTGAAGTTCTCTTCCCGGAATTGGTTGTTGAGGTAGAGCTTCCAGATCTGCCACACCGCTTCCGAGTAGAGTGTGTGCCATCTCGCCTTGTCGTGTCGATTTGTCAGACCCGGTGGGCCAATCGCCATAAATCCCAGCAGCTCCTCACGGGTTGTCGGGATGGGGGCAACAAATGGCCCTTGGCGTCGGGTCCTTGTCGCGGCGAGGTGAATCGCCCGCATCTCTTGCCAGACCGCCTGTGCGATTTCGCACTCCACCTACAAGTGGATGATGGTCTGCTCCTGGCCATCTCTGGGGCATGTCCACGCCCTCTTCTCCAGTCCATAACAATTTGGCGCCCGTCAGCACCTTGTCGAGTAGCAGCCGGTAGAGGAGGTCGTTTGCCTTTGGCACCCGTTTCCTCATGAGCACCGCGTTCCAGACTTCCGATGCTCGAACGGCTCTTCGCAGGGCTCTCGACATTGTTAGGACGATTCCTTCGATTCGGTCGTCCAGGGTGTGGCCTCCCTGGACGTATTTATTGAGTGTCTTATACACCCACGGGTAGTAGAGTCTGTCGAGGTCGCGCCCGACCTCAGTCCCATCTGCCCGTACCGAGGTCATTCGGCAGTGCTGGAACGGTCTTCTCGATTTTCCCAATTTTGTCGGTCTTGGAGGGGGGCGGATTCCACGAGTTGGGTCCAATCCCTTGGCAGGCCACCGATGAAAGTCCGCAGCGCTTGTGAGACGCGGCGCCTCTCCTGCCCTTGCAGAGTGTCCGGCACCCTGGGCACCATCGTGACAGGGTCCAGGACATCCCCGATCCTGTCAATGTTTCCGAAGGCTCCGTCCGCTATACTTTTCCATGTGTCGGTCGACCAGGTCGCTGTCCGCAGGTTTCGGAGGTCTCGGGGAGTACCAAAAGGGGGAGGTATAAATATATATATTTCCTTTGCGGTTTAGCATGACGGATAGGATCGTTTCTCTGTCGAACTTACCAGAGTATACTCATGGCCATACTGTATGTCCTGGACATGATGGATTCTTTGGGATTCAAGCCGCGCTCTGCTTTTGCATATCCAGCTTCTGTTTCGTGGTGTCATCACTTTGCGAGGTTGGTGCCTTCGGAGCTTGTGTCCAGTCCCCAGGGATCAAGTCAGTTACCAGTTATGTCATAGTAAGCTATGTCATTTCTCCATCTGTGCGATACTGTATCGGCTGGCTGCGGACGATTGTTGCATATCTCGTATGTTTGGCGGCTCCTATTTGCCGCTATGCCCACATGGTAGGGACCTGCACTGTGCTGTGTACCGCCTCTTGTGAAGGTTTTGTTGCAGCTGGTCCCCTTTCTATGAATTCCGTGAATGGGTTTCTGGTTCAGGAGCACACATCGATCCGTTGCCACAAGGACTTCAACTACGGTTGTCCAACATGTCTTGATGTCATGAATAATGTCCACACTGTCGAGAGTGTTGGGTGCCCATAACATTAGCCCTACTGTGCGAAGTTCAAGACTGCGGATGTCGCTCCTCTGTTGATGGCCCTCATGACGAGCGCTCTGATTTGTCCAAATTCACCTTCCATCCAAATAGTCGTTTTCGCGCCGAGGTGCAAATGATCAGCCTTATGGCGTGGAGTATCGTCATACGTTCTGAAACATCTCAAAGACTGACATTTTCAAGGCTCTTTCCCTTGTCTGAGGAAAGTAGGTTCATATCGTTGTTGTTTTTGTCGTATTTGGCGAGCATCTCAGACTAGCTGCAGATGGTACCGAGGTTGGACTGAGAGAATCTCGAGAAGTTGACTCCGAGATGAGGTTTGTGTGCCAGAGAGTCAAACGCCAGAATGTGACTGAAGACGAACTACCTTTTTGTGCTCTCAACTTCAGTGTCGGTGAGGCGTTTCGCGAGTGTTCACTTACTAGGTATTGTTGCCCTTGCGGTTGCATTTCATTGATGCTACCAAGAGAAGGCTAAGGCTAGTGCCTGACTCGACTGTTTGAGCTGCTAGGACAGTCTGCATGACTTCAATAGGGATGAGAATACCATCTGGTACGTGTTGTGCAATACTGTGCTCACCTTGTAAGACGAGTCATGCAGGAGCAGTGTGACCTATTTGACGAGAAGATTGACTAGAGGGCAAGCCGTTTATCAAATTCTCCTCACGAGAACCCAGGTTCAACCGCCGTAACCTGGCATAAAACGGAATGTTGAGAGGCTGACAAGCTATCAAGCAGTTGTCGATGGGAAAATCTTCGTCAAAAAGCGCAGATCTTCTTATTCGCCTATCGACCGATACTGGTATTGACTGCTCCATTCTGATCGAGAAGGATAGAAAAGTCGTATTTTATCCACGCTATCGCACGAGATATCAACCCGTGAGTTTCTGTTATTGAATCTTGCCAACGAGCAACATCTTCTCAAGGTGGTATTCGTGGATTGAAACGCTTCCTCTTGCTGGCTTCGGCTAAAAAGTTGGCATCGACATTGAGCGTCTTGAGAAGTCTGTCAGCATAATGGCGAAGAGTCGCACAGAAACTTCTTCCAAAGTAGGCCATGTAGAAGAACTAGGATACTAATTTCGGGTATTCTTGAAGATACATACCTGAAGAGATGCTTCTGGGTTTGCGAAAATGTGCTCTTCTGAGATGGTTAACCCGTCGAGCAGCTAACTTGAGACGAGTTCGAGATTGTCATCGACTGTGCTTGCTAAAAAGGCGGCCTCTCTCGATGATAGTCCACAAGGAGAAAAGGCCACTGAAGTCCAAGAAGCTCAAGTTACTTGTGAGCTCGTGTGTTTCAGCGTCTGGGGGGGCAACAAGGTGTGCGGTATGGCGACAACCCCATGCCTTCGTTAGAAATACCAACGCCAGCATTGTGACAGCTGCCTGAATTGGGTGATAACGTATTCCGCCATTCACTCCCATCCCTTTCACTCCTATCACTGCTTATGTAGGGCGGGCACCTGTAGCAGGCCGATAGCGCAGACGCCAATCAATTTTGACCTAGCTGCTCAACAATAGGTAGACTCCTGAGGCTCGTGGAATAGCTTCGACTCCAATAGTAGCAACATTCTTCGGCTCGGATGTTCCGTCTCATCCTTGCAGAAATATGGTGGACTTCGTCGAGAATCGTCTCCGAGGAAAAAATGGTAGGTGCATCCAAGTAAAATTGTTTCTCGTAAAGGTGACTAGCACTGGTGTTTGGTTGACAGCGGAACACAATATATAGAAGGCAGAGAGGTCTTCCACCGCTGTCGAGGAGAATCTGGTATTGCTGACGGACGTAACCTGGCCTGTGACCGAAAAGTCATAGTGCCGAGCGTGTAAATTCTGCCTGGTTGACCAGTCAGACAATGCAAATCTGGTTGGCATTGCAGGTGATGAAAGTAGCTGAAGAACTGGCACAGCCTTCAAGGTATCTTCAAAAGCCGCTGTAGTATTGCAATCACCCGTCTCAGTACCGATGGCTTAGTCGAATGTTGCTCGTGTATATTCACGTATCAGGGTTGTCCGGAGAGAGATATCTGAGTAGCACAATGTAGGATCTGGACAGGAATGGTGCTTTCAGGCGATCGCAAGGTATTCAACCAGGGTCCATAGGATCAGACAGTGTCGGCAGCGTTTGGGCAGGTTTTTGGGACTTGGAATGATGTTTTCTGTTCTCGCTGTGGGTTAGAAGTACCCTGGAGTCTTTGGTGCAGGTTTGGGAATGACCGACAACCAGATTGCGATCAAATGAAGGGAGTCTTTCAGCTGTATGTCTAAGCTCGTTATCATGTCGACCATCTCCTCTTCTTGGCTTCCTGTTCCATATCTTTCCGCGCCGAAAGAGCTTCCGAACCTTCTCACAAATTTTCAGGTTCCGACTTTGATCTAATCACTCTGATCAATTATGTAGATGTCCAAAGGGAAGCCAACTTGATCTAGCGATTTTTCCTTGCGCCGGGTCATTTTCAAAGGCAGTTCGATGTTTGTTGTGTTGTCTCGTCAAACGGTGGCCCAACGGTACTAGCAGATGTTTGCAGAAAGAAACGGTGTGAGACTAGCAGGTCTGTATCGATGCAGTGTAAGAGGCGTGGTCGCTCGTAACAAGGCTGTCTTGACAGAGTGAGACAATATAGTGTGGGATGTATGACTACCGTAGCTAGCGGCGCCAATGGCTCCAGTGGGTTGGTCATGAATCTCACGAGTAAGGAGTGAGGATTTCGGAAGTAAATGTTTGTGGAGAACCAGAGAAAGGGGCAACAGTCCTGCCAAGACTTTGTCACGTGAATATTGACCATTAGACGTGCTTGTGACGCACAGAGGCACCAGCACAGCATACAGCACAAAAATCATGTATACAAACTCGAAGAGAGTCTAGCTGGGTATTGCCAGCATGTAACAAGGTAAATGTCGCAGGTGGGCAATTGAAAGTGTCACGTATTGGCCAGGATTTGGCAGAACCGTGGCAGTGTTATGTCTACTCCCATTATGTAAAGCACTACGGCACGCAAGGCTAATGCAGATGATAGAATAGAACTAGGGCAGGACCACAGTGAGAGTGCTGGAGCAGATACTGTGTAATGCAGCCATACTTTAGGGGCGCCTTAGGCGAGGTGAGTTTTCCAAGTCTCCAGAAGCTGCGTCGTCGGCGAAGGGTTTGGCATTACGCATACTTGGATGGGTGGACCATGGCAGGAGCACTGATCAAAAGTCTGTACACTCAAGAAGACCAGCAAGGGAGTAGGCCCAGCAGAGTGGAAGTCAATGGTCATTTCTTGTTTCCCACAATAACACTACCTTCAATCAAAATGCGCTTTGATCAAGGATAAGTGATACGAGGTCGTAAATGGCCAGGCTACAGAAGGTATGGATCTGTCGTATAATTCCGTCCAAGAACTCTTTGTCTCTTCCATTTCGTCCGAGGAGAGCGCTCCGAGGCTCGTTCCAGCGATTCCAGCACAGTTCATCACCCGTAACTCTCTGGTCGACCGACCATATGAACATAGTCGGGTCTTGATGTTCAGTTTTGTACGAGGTGAAGCTTTGTCAGGCAGCGCAAAAGCCCCGTTGCCAGAAAGTTGTTTAGCTTCCGCAATGTTCAGCCAGAAGAGAGAAAAAAAGCTCTGGTTGATCGTCAAAGCTCAAGATATCTGATCTCAGATAGTTTGGGCCAACGGACAATAGTGCTTTTGCATGAATGACTTGGGTGAGAAAAGGTATGGCGGTCATTTAGCCCCCTTCCATGAAATGTCGTTAAGCTGCGCAGTCAGCAAGAGCAGTCTCCCCAACAAAGCCAAGTTACATAATTCATCAACGCTCCGAACGCTCGGGCGCTGTTCATAAGCCATAAATGGTTAGATTTCCCGTTTAATCATTTCTCTGCCTTCTCTTTCGATCGCCAGAAAAGCATGAGTTTGCTCAGTCTGTTCGTTTTCTTTTTGTTCTGTTCGTCCTCGACGCTGTTGTCTGGGACACTTTCAAACTTGAGTTTGCTACCGTGAGAAGAGCCAGGGATAAAGCGATTGAGACTGGCCAAACTCGAACGTTTCCACGCTTGCTGATTGTTCGATCTGGAGGTAGACGGGTCAATCATAGAGGCTGAACGTTGCTCGACAGAGGATCTGGTACCCGCACTGCTGGAGAACCTTGGAACAGCACCGGTGGAAATACTGTCACTCAATGACGGAAGATCGTCGTTGGATACACGAAGTATCAAGTCAGGACTTGGTTCTCCAAGTAATCTCGACGGCCGACAGAGGGCGTCAAAAGAGATATGATCCGCATCGGGTGAAGACATCATCGAAGCAGATGTGGTGCGTCCGTCTGTGGATGAAGCATAGTGCGACTGGGGTGCCGGATACACAAAAGCCATTGGTGAAGACATCGGTCGTTTTCGAGATTCAAAATCTTGATATACTGGCGCCTCGATTGTTGAGTTGGACGACCTCGCGCCGACCCGAGAAAGGTCATCGTCTGAGTCAATAATGATAACTCCATCACTTGAGCTGTCACGAATGAACAGACCAAGACCGTCTGCGACTGTTCCATTGGGCGATCCCGACAGAAGCGAAGCTGGAAATTCCTCCCGGCCTCGAACGTCCACAGGGGTGGTCTGTGCAGCATGTTCCTCGGCCAGAAAATTGTCTTCCTCTTCTTCGTCGAAGACATCTTCGGAAAGAGAAGCGTTGCTGCCAATATGATGCAAACCGAAGATGTTGCGATTGACAGCGGGCATGATGGGTGCTGACTCAGTCCTCCTATGGATTGTACCGAAAGCATCCATGGCTCCTCTGCGTTCACTACTGTGGAGTTTTGCCAATCGCGAAGCTTGTCTGGCAATTCCTTCTGGTCCGAGCTTTTCTTCGCTTCCGAAAGGCCCCAGAGCAGCATCAAGATCAAGGGTTGGACTCGTAATCTGCTCTTCGTAGGGACTTACCCTCCAGTCTGGTAATGTCACCGAAGTTTCTGCCGCGGCTCGGACCCTCGTTGCGACAGGCGAGGGATCACGAATCACAATTGTGTCGTCAGCATCAAAGATGTCGTTAAGCCGATCACTGGGGGTCCTTGTGAGGGGTGGCGGCACTGGATGGCCCTGTGGTTTGGTCTTGCTGGATCGCTTCTCTGATTTCTTGGAGAAGATTCCCGATGTCCAAGTATGATATTTTCGCTTCTTTGTGGTAGATTCACCTGATGATGTTTGAGGTCGCAGATCGTTCCCTAGGCTCTGCACGGCGGGAGTGGCAGACACAAAAACATCCATCGGATCACCCCGCTCAATATGGGGAGTTGTTGATGGGGAGCTACTACCGGAGTGGTTAAACCAGAAGTATTTCTTTTTATTAGGAGGACTGCAGGAGCTCAGCGTTCCAGGCGATCCCGAGGCTGACAGAGGGCGCTTTGGCAGATTAATCAGAGACAAACTCTTCGTCTTATCGAACGCCATTCCTGGAGACAGAGTAGAAAGTGCGTCTGCAGTCTGCGGTCTCTCCGGCTCGGGCGAAGTCATTGTGTCATGTGACGGGCTGACGACGAAGGTCGGTCGGGGTATGGGACTGGCAATGGAATTGATGCTGCCAGACAAGGAGTGTCCTCCCCTAACAGTCGAGCTACTGCCTTCGGTCTCAGAGGATATCATAGACAACGGTCTGGGTATGACATCGACCTGGTCGGAAAAGCCCACGCGAGGTCGTATCCCAGGGACGCTACCCCTGCGGCGCGGGGACGAAGGAGGAGTCTGGGCAACACTTGACACGGAGTGTCGGGTCATTGGACTGGCGCGAAAGAACGAGAATGCCTGTGCACTATCGCAGGGAGTGGTTGGTGTCGACCCAGCACGTGCCTTAGCCACAGCATTTGCCTTGATCAGCTCGGACGTATCAATGTCAGAGATCGAGACAGCTTGCGAACGACGATGGGCATGTCCTCTTGTTCCAGATATTGGCGGATGAGGACGATACTCGGGCCTTTCAGGACTTGTGCTCACTAGCTGGGGTCCATCGGCCCCGCCTCCGCCCACAAATTCACTTCCACCTCTTCGATGACCACCACGAGAGGATTGCTGAGTGTCGACAAAACTGGATTTTGTTGGACTAGGCGACGTCTGCGAAGGCGTCACGTTCGGAGCGAAGGTGAATGCGGGTAAAGGTGCCGGTTTTGCAGAACGGACAGCACGCTGCTTGTTCAAGGCCATCTCTTGAAGGACAGGATGAGTCGGACTCGAAGTTCGCTCAGCTGGTAGACCGGCACCTGGGTTGAACTTGAATTCAGGCAGTGGAGGAGGTCGGGCAGAGCGACGGCCGGCCTCAACAGTCGTGTCGATAGCATGTTGGGTGGACGAATCCATTCCTCTTAAATTTGCAGCGTTCTCATCCACACCAGGGTTAAAGGAGAAAATCGGCAGAGGAAGGGTGTTTGGATTTCGAGAATGTCGACGTCTGTGGGGTTGAGGCGATCGAGGAGGAGAACTGGGCGTCGAATCGAAGGGTGACAAAGCTGATACCGAAGCAGGTAGGGAGAGGGAAGTCATAGCTCTATCCTGGCGAGGAAACCACCCAAGGAGACGAAAATGCGTGCTCTGGCCAGCAGGAAGGTGCAAAGTAGAGAAATGTCCTAGGTGTCCGAGCACCTGTGGAGGTTGTGGATGCAGACTGGTTGTGAAAGCAGGACAGCCACCATCAGAGGATCGAGGAGGCGATTAACGCTGAAAGAATATGTCTGTGAAAATGAATGTCTTGTACAAAAGTAATCTGGGAGAGTCAGAAACTCTGCGCGTAGTCTTTGCCAGTCGTGTGTGATACCTCAACACCAAAGTCTCGGACACAGAATCAAGGGTCGCAGTTGAATTGAAATTGAAGATCGGTCAACCAAAGGGATGGGAAATTGAGGGCGTTCGCTTGGATGATGAAGGAATGGACGGCTACCTGGAAGAAAGATCAATGAAAGATCTTCCTCCGATCAGGAGCCACGAGGCTGATGAAGCCCTTTGAGGGAACGGGAGCGCGAAGGGTGAGTGAGGAAGAGTGTTGAGGTACAGGTGCGAAAAGAGGACGTAAAACGGGAGATGGGAGGCGGTGGAATTGAAGGGGATGGAGGTGAACTACTGGATGTGGCCACTGGCGCCAGTTACCAGCTCCTCTCACATTATTGGAACTGCACGGTGGTCCACCGGGAAACTGGATCGCTAGGCAGGCCAAGTTGCCTGGCTGGGCTTAGGTGCAGATTTTTGGGGCTCACCAGACCTGGTCAAGCGAGCGGCGGCCTTTGCGGTAGGTCCCTCTAGTCCCTTTTCAGCCTGGGCTCTCTCTAACTTATTATGAGGGTGGACGAACTGCTGAGCCAACAAAGGAGAACGAGCCTTGATGAAGCTACATTAGGCTCGGAGCCTGGCAATACACGCACTTGTGGACATGTTTCACAAACGGCGAGATCTATGTATTATTATCATAGCGGAGACTTCTCTTTCCATACGCGGCATTCATATCCTTGTACAGCAATGCTCAAGTCAAAGGAAGGACTCGAAGTATGATGGACATCCACGTTTGATTTTGCCCACCTGACCGGAATGTTGACCGCTTCATGAGTCGGTGGGCAACGCTCGAATGAAGATCATGACAGTTGAAGGCCCCCTTAGCTTGTACCACCCATCAAATCAGCCCAATCTTTTACGAGATTGCTTGCCCTTGCAGCTGCCTCCGTCCTCGGACCTTGCTGCCTCATGCTGTGCAACTTGTTGTTCTATCTGCGTGGTTGAGCGATTTCTTGAGGTGCCTGGAACTCGTGTATGATTACTGGGATTTGCCAGTTGAAGGTAATTCACTCCCTCCATCCCCTTTGTCTTGGGAGAAGCTCTAAAGATCTTCCAGGATCGGCGCAAAACCCAAGCGGCGCAGCCCCTGCTCCTCGCGCTACAACGAGTAGGACGGCTTAGCTGCTACTGAGCGGAGTTCAAGCTCATACGCTTATGCAGGAACTCTCAACCCCGGATCCAGGTCGCTGGCCAACAAGGGAAAAGAGTCTTCCCATCCAGACAAGTCGTTTATCTCGCGTCCCTCAAGGCCTGATTCCGCTCCTCAATACGAGTATTCTATCCACCGGGTATAGCCGTCGAACCGGCTTGAACGGGTCGCAAGCCTGCGCAACGTCTACAAGTATGTACAAACAGAAAGACTTTTCTGTGTCAGACATCTCGTAAAAGCTGGAAACCCCGATGGATGCACACTGAAACTCGCTTACTGCTGTCTCCTCGACAACAATCAGAACATTCGTCACTGGTGGTTAGTGGATAGCCCCCAGATAGATGCCCTCGTGCTTCACCGTCCTGATAATGTGGGTGGGAACTCTGGGGTCACCAGGGCTAGCAGGAGCTGGCCGTCAAAAGGTGCAATTTTTCATGACCAATGAATCCCCGTAGATGGCTTTGATTCCTCTGAGCTGTTCCGAGCCACGCGGCAAAAGCCTGAATAGCCGATGCCTGCGGTTGGGAGGCCTAGCTATCAGTGTTCATGCAGGCTTTGCTAGTGACACGGAAGTATCCTGCAAGGGCAAAAAGTAAAAGGAGAAAAAAATTCTCACGCATGCGTATCCTTCGGGGCCGGCATTGGGCTCTACCACTAGTTGCCTGTGAGGTACAACGCAGATCATTGGTGTCAAGTCGTCTCATCCTGTCAACCTCCATGCAGCGGAGTCGCCTCCTACTTGCGAGTACCGAGTACAGAAACGCAAGCCGCACCTCCAAATGTAGTACTTGCTTCCCAATGACACCTGAAGGTTGGGCCGCGCTATCAAGCCAGGTACTTTTTTCTTTACGTGAAATCCAGCATAATAGAACCCAAACACCAGTGGGAGGATTCAGCCCTCCCAACGCATGTCAGCATATCTGGCAGGTCTCTTGGAAACACAACAGGCCATTCAATCTCGGATTTTTATCCGAAGACTCGCTCCAACTTGTGGAACGAGTGCGTGATTTTGTCGGTGACACAGCATTTCTGGGAAAAATCCCGGCTGAGCAGTATCTTATCTCGGCCGCACCAATCCGATACAATGGCTCCAGCAAGGAAGCAGAAGGGAGCAGACAGTCGGACACGTCAGACTTCTCAACCACGAGGTCGTGGCGGGGCGAGTGGTAGCACTGGTATAACAGCAATGCGGCAACGTCCCGAAGCCCATGGCTTCATTTTACCCACCGAACTACCACAGCAGATTCTAGACATGTTTCGTCGGGCATTCCCTCTCAACCACAACCAAGTTGATTTGAACGCCACCATTCAGCACGTCAAAGGCCACCTGTTCCAGCGCGACTTTGCTGGTGCGTTTGCCAAGCCAGAGTATCTCGATGCATATGCACTCAGGTGGAGTGCAGGCCGTGCCCTCGGATATACGAGCATCTTCTTGCACGACGATTTGCAAAGAGTTTGGAATGGACCCGGCGAGACTGCGACCGCTGCCCCAAACACAAATGCGAGTCCGCTCGCGACGCCAGCCAGCGCTTGTACCGTAGTTTGCATTGGAGGTGGCGGAGGCGCGGAGGTGGCTGCCTGTGCGGCTACAGCACGAACACTCCCACTAACAACAGGCAGACTATGTGTTCATGTCGTTGATATCGCAGACTGGTCAGCCTGCCTTTCCAAACTAGAGAACACACTGTACACACCACCTCCCTTATCATCCTACGCAACTGAGAGCGTCAAGGCAGCGAATAAACCCTTCACAACTCGTGACGAGTTCTCGGTGCGATTTCACCAATATGACATCCTCGCCGTCGATGAGGCTGACTTGCAGAGCATCCTCCGTGGGGCGCATCTCTGCACTATCATGTTTACACTCAACGAGCTCTTCACAGCCTCGATATCGCGCACCACGGCATTTCTCCTGGCGCTTACAGATATCATGTCCCCAGGCACATGGCTTCTGGTTGTAGATAGCCCTGGGAGTTACTCCGAAGTGACAGTGGGATCGGGGTCCAGTGCTCCTCACGGACAGCGAGAAGATGGTGGAGATACAAACACCAAGACGAGACGCTACCCTATGAAGTGGTTACTAGACCACACGCTTTTAGACGTTGCTGGCAAGGCAGCAGAGGGCGGTAGCAAGTGGAGGAAATTGGTTTCTGACGAGTCCAGATGGTTCAGATTGAGCCAGCAACAGCCGCTCAGGTACCCAGTGGAGCTTGAGAATATGAGATATCAGATTCATCTCTACCAGCGGATACAACATGGGGAAGGAGAAGACACGTAGGCTTGTCTCCGAACACATGCACGAACAAGACAGACACAAAGGGATGGATGGATAGGCCTCGCAATTATTCTATTGGGCAGAATTTTGAACTGCGGCATGAAGGTTTCCATCATTTTATTTCCGTCACTTTAGGCGGATACGAGAAGAACCCTCCGACTTGACGAGTATGAAACTTGACATGCCCGCTAGAATGATGCCCATACAGAAACCATTTCAGAAGGTCAAAGATAAGGCTTTCCGCAGGGTGTGGAGGCCCCTAGTGTCAGTGCCCATCCTGCTTTGGATTCAGATCTTGTATGGGTGTTGCCTGGCATATCAACTAACTGCACATCAACCGCAGACATAGGAATATTGACTGCATCATGGTATCATGTGCCTTGCATTTGCATTCGCATTCCAACGTGAGTCTAGTCCTCATCCTCGTCACCCTCGTCATTGACAACATTGAAGAAGCGCAGCTCGTAGACGCCCCTTGATGTGGACACCACACGCAGCCAGTCGCGCAGTTGTTGCTTCTTGAGGAATTTCTTGGTCCTAGATTAAGCATCACGCAGTTTTCGTTAGCATCGATACAGTTCCGACAGGCGGTGGTATCCCAAGGGGGCGTGGACAAATGCTCCTCGCGCAATATCCAGGTCTCTCTCCGCACCACGGTCGCATACTTTGAATATGGATTGGTTTGTGCAACAAGTTGTTTGGAGGAGTTGGTATAGGTGGATTGGCAAGAGGCTTGTGTGGACAGAGAGTTGTGCACAACTGGGTTTTGTTTCTGCTTACAGGTATTTCAAGTAGCGGCCAGAGAAGGGAATGTGAGTGATGACCTCGATCTTGCCGTCGCCGACCTGGTTGATGGTGACATTATCGCCCAAGTTGCCAGTGCGGCCTTCGACCTTGATTCGCTCGTGCAGGAACTTTTCAAAAGCGGAGAGGTCGAAGATCTTGTCGGAGACTGGTTGTGAGCAGTTGATGGTGTACTGTTTCCGTCACAGACATTAGCATAAGCTCCCACACACATTCCTTGTTCGGCGGCTGCACGAGGTGATCCGCGAAAAATTTGACACTCAGAACATGCATGCCCAGGCGCATGACTGTGCAGACGTGGATGAATGTACAGTGGATGTGTTCTTAATTGTTCCATCAACGAGCATTGCGTACCTTGTTTGTGACCTTTCCACCTTTTGCGCCAGCTTTGCCCTTCGATGCGACCTTTTGCGCGGTGCCACGAGCCTATATTGGAAAAAATTCCAACCCTCCCGAAGGAGGACGGAGAGAAAACCTCAGCCTACTGCACCCCATTGTGTATATCATGAGGACCAGCAAAGCTGTTCGGTTGGATCGATCGAATCGATTGCCCACGTTTGAGTCCCGGCGGCTGTGGAAAGACTTACTTTCACGGAAGGTGCCATTGTTGTATTGCTCTTCTTGTGCAATCGAAGGACGCAAAGAGATCGATATCCTGCGCCTCTAGAAGTGATGCTGAGTTGGTGGGTGAGGAAATTTGGAAATCTGAGTGCGGAACTCCCTTAGGAATCCCGCGCCACAAGAGAAATTGGGGTTTGTGGATTGAAAATTCGCATTACCTGCCCTTCTCGGTCAGTCACCTTGGCAATTTTTTTCGCCGATTATGAGCCGAGAATTACACGAACAAGACGCATAAACACTTTTATACAACAACCCATGGGACATCATTCACAATACGAATATCATTTTCATAACACTTTCGATTTGAATCACAAAATACAATACTCAACGGTCGCAAACGACACGAGCACAATCACACAGCGTCAACCTGCCATACGTCCATCGTCGTTGCTGGCCAGAAACCCACCAGCCGTTGACTCCTTTGATGCTCCTTTCTGCGCCATTGCCTTGTCATGCCGAGTCCAATTCATTCGGTCCAGAGAATACACAATATTTCATGACCTTCAAGATTCACGCTTTGTAGGAAGTTGTTCCATCATCCACTCCCATTGTGGTATTCCAGATGTCAATGTACATGTCCCCAGTCGGAATGAGTGACTCCATAATTCGCCGATGCCTCTCGCTCATGGGCGGTGTCGGTCGCCCCCTTGTCGTTGCAGTATGGTCATAATGAAATGCTCAGCTGGTCGTGGAATTCGCAACACTACCGCTTCACACCAACCGGTCCATGACTAGCACTGCCAACACGGCCACTTGTCTTCCTGACCTTCATCTTATCCTCAACTCCGCTGCGCCGTGGTGACTCTCTAAGCGATCGAGTCTTCGGAACGCCCATGGTACCCATTCCACTAGCAGATCGTGGGGTCTTTGGTCGGGCAGTTCCAGGTGGGTTCTTCTCACTCATAGTACTGAGCTTTAAATTCTCCTGTTCCTGGGCGAGCTCGTCCCATATGGCGTTTGTATCCTCTATCTGGAAGTTGATATCCCCATCGTCTTCGTAGATACCCATCGTGTCGCCCACGTCAAAAGTCTTGGTCATAGTTGTCGTGGTGGTGGTGTATGAGACGCTGCGAGCTTTGCCTTTACTACCAGGACTCTTGCTATGGCTTCGGCGGGACGCCGCTCGTTGTAGAATGAGCTCCTCTTCGCTTTCTGCGCCGTTCGTACTAACTCGGTGTGTCTCCACTGTGGCGACCTCGCTCTCAGACTTGTTGCCATTGATACGCACGGTACCCGAGGACGACCGAGCATATGGGTGACTTCGAGGATCCATTCGAGCATACTTTCGAGGTTGACCCGGTGTTGGCGCAGGGAGGTTTTCGTCCTGATAAGCTCCAGCAGTCGAGACGTCATTGCCATCGATTTCGCCCAAAGCAGTTCTTTGGGTGCTTGAGCGATCTGGAGTCGCCGTCTGTGCTGCACCAGAAATACGTATGGGAGTCTTCGCTGTCATGACGCGAGGAGTCGAGGGCTTATTCAACTCCATTTTTGCCTTCCACTGATCTTCCAGGTACCATTCTCGAAACTGTCCCTGATTCAGATGCAGCCAGTGCTGTTGTGGTCCGACCACCATTCCAGGACGCATGAATCGCATGAACGAGATGACTTCGTTTGCAGTAAAACCGTGGCGGTAGATCAAATAGGCTCCGATCAAGCACCCGGTTCTGCCGAGCCCAGCCTTGCAGTGGACCGCGATAGCTTTGCTCCTTGCGATGGTGTCATGGGCCAGCTTGATAAACTTGCGGACAACGGGAAGGGCTGGACACGTTCCATCTTCGAAGATCATATCAATGTGTTGAATACCAAGAGCAGTAAAGTATGTTGGACAGTAGAGTTCCGAGTTGAGTCGAACAACCAAACCAACGTCACGTTGGACGAAATGAACGAGGACGTTCTTGAAGGGCAGGGGTATCCTGGCACGCTGAACTTCTGGTATACAAGATGGCAGTGTTGCATAGGCTGGGGATGAGATGGGAATGGGTGTGGTTGGCTCAGATTGAGGAGATGCAAAGGCAACAAATTGGGGGCAGATCCAGTTGAAATCTCCCTGGTCAACTCGTTCGAATCGCTCGTATCTAGACACATTAGCGGTCGGCCCCAGGGGTTAGTCGAGCGACATACTCTTCGAGATTGAACTCCTTGAGCTGACACAGATTTTCTTCTTTGGCTTTCCAGACGCCATACACCACATCCTGAATGTTGAGAATAAAATCGGCCTGGCTGTACCCTGCGTCTCGGAAGGGCATGTATGGAGGATCAGCTTGAGCAATAGGCGCAAGAGCAAGGTGAGGAGGCCATGCTTGAATCAGGACCATATAGCATGCGACAAGACACGCAGCGTTCGCTCGACTCCTGGCGTCAGCCCTGCTCCAAAACACGACGGCTTTGTCGTTGTTGGCTGGGTCACCCAAGATTTCATGGAACTGGACGGCAAACCTATAGAGATGGCCAATGTGCAGGGGGCCGAAGTCGGCGTGAAAAGCATTGTACAGAAGAGTGTCGTCGATGGTGAAATAGACCGGAGGAGGGCGCAGAGCAGCAGGAACAGGACCCGACTGCGCTTTGGAGGACTTTTTCTGTGGCGATTTCTTTACTTGCGTGGGATACGGGAAAGGAGTATGTTCGTTAGGTGCGTGAATGTAGGATGCGAGGTAGAGGCGATCTGTTGTGGAGAGAGCTGTCAGTGATGCGCATCGCAGTGAGGGGCATTGTTTTGGTTCATGGCTGTGTACCTTGAATGTATTCGATGACCTGGCCGTAACTGGCAGGATGCACCAGCGAGGGTGCCATCACTGCTCACAGTTGACGAGGGATCGCCGACAATGGAATGATAGGATTCCGCACAGGTATTCAATGTCGCAGATAGCAATTCTCGACAAGCTGCGGCGCTCGAGGCTGGAAAGAGAAGAAGCTGTAAACAGTCTTGTGGAGATAGGAATGTCTCTAAGTTTGCAGCATATCACGAAGCAAAGGTAGTAGCGAAGATGCAGTAGAGTAGCCTGAGTACGATGGGACGTGGACGAAGACGGCGACGGAGGTTAAAGATGTGGTGCTTTGCAAGAGGAAGCAATGGGTGTATGTCTGAAGAATGCGAAGACCGGGCATGTATGGGTAATGAATGAAACGGGGAAGGGGTGGCAGCCCCAAAGTTCCCAGTGTCCCGTCGTCATGTTTACTTTTCGCCCCTGCATCGTGGTATCCCAGCAACCGCTTATCGGGGTTTCAAACCGATCTTCCTGCACCCACACCAATATCACTGCTGTTTTGTCTAGGCGGCTGCCACTCCTACCTGAACCCAAACAACAATTCCAGATCTTCCCCTCGTGTCTGGCTCTTGATTCTGGTCCACCTTGCCTCAACCCGGATTGACTGCCTAGGATCACTCCGCCTCTCTGGATGCGTTGCGGTGCCCTTTTTCCACTTCTGACGACTTGGCCATGGGCACTTCTCAATCCGACTTTCCATGCTCATTGTGTGTTGTCAATCTTCCCATCGATTCTTTGCGCAAAGCACTGACCACACTCCCACACAGGGTCATCGATATCCCTCTACTAGACCATCGCCTCGCCTCCACGGCCATGCGCGCCCTACATGTTGATGCTGAGCTATCGCCATTGGTTCGTCGAGAGTTCACTTTAGTCAAACCAGGTTCTGTCAATGGTCATACAGTAGAGGGTGATGATGGATCACAAGATGCCCACAAGATTATTCTTCGCACCCAGTATAGCGCAACTACCAATCGCATGCTCCGTGTTGCCGTAAATGGCTTCATGGAGTCTCTAGGCGTTGTCCTGCAAGTCATAGAGGAACTAGATGTGGACATTCTACAATCAAGGTCATGACTTTTACACATGATGTTCCCGATTTGTCTCTGGCCTCTTAAGATATGTTCAGTTCGAAACAATGGGCCTATCCATCTTTGGGCTGCCGCCTTTGCCCGCACATCAAATCCTTGCTCGAGCTCTCCCCAATAGATAGCAGCTGAGTGATGTCTCGGTGCACCTCTGTGGCGCTGTGGAGAGTCTGGATCTGGCAAACCAAGTTCAATGACATCCGTCCTGAGGCAAAGTTAAGCCTTGGTCGCATAGCGGTCGATAGTTGAGAACTCGACTGACTCCTTCCTTTCGGAAGATGAGACATGGCCCTCCCCTATTCTTTCTTCGACACGTACTCATCTTCCGTAGAACAGGGCCGTTGCACACTTCCCACGCCACGAATGATGAAGCGAGCACCCGGAACATCACAGCGTGTCCGCGAAATCGCTTTCGATTTATGTCCGGTCGATATTGAGCTGTCGGTGCCAAGAGCAGCACCTCCGTAAGAGACCATGCCGAAGTAATCCGGTAAGAAGACCACCCCTGTGCTGGTGGCGCCTGGGTCCTCTGCCATATAGTCCTGGGAGTCGGGGTCCGTGGCAGTGCCCAGTACGATGGTCGTGCCGTCTTTTTGCCGAGGGAACAACGCGGGCGTTGATAGGAATGTTCTTGCGCTGGTCTTAGGTGCAGAATCCACGGAACAAACTAGGAACTCGACCGTGCTGTCCACTGGAACTATGCTACGCGACCCCAGCTCCTGGAAGCCGCCTTGGTCGCCATCCAGGTTTGGAAACACAAGTGATGGCGCGTCGCCGATCTCGAAATCGACAGCTGATTCCAGTGATAAGAGGCCTTGTCTCTTTCCCCAGCCTCCTCCGCCGCCTGAGACCTTGAAGAGCTGTGCTCCTTGCCAAAGCGGTTTCAGTGAGCCCGATTCCTTGGTATCCTTGTTTGCATCCGCATCGGCGTCGAACGATGGAGTCCCTGGTGAACGGATCAGACCAAAGACGAGGAGTGAACCCCGAACCGTGCTCGTGGGGTTCGACTTTATGTATGCTGAAACGGCTGTCTCGAGCTCTTGAGAGGCAGGGACAGCCTCGCCGTCGACTTCAATCTGACGAAGCACATTTCCCATGGATCGAACGACCTTTCTCGGCTTTGTTAGTGCGTGTAATGGCGCAGATCCGCCGTCTACAAAACAATCTCCCGGGCAGGGTAGGTTCATTTGAAATGATTTGAGAGTCTTTCTGCCAAGATAGCTGATGGTTGGTTCCTCTGACTCAGTGAGCTTCATCCTCCACGAGTCTTGGAAAAGAGTTGTTCGTCGTTCATTGACGAAAATGGTGTTGGCGACGGGTAATGCGACATGCCGCACGGATGGCGCGAGGTGTGCTGCTCGATCCGGAGAGCTCGCTTCAGCGGAGGAGCAAAATTTCAATGTTGTGGCGGAGTTGTTATCTGCTTCCTCAACCCGTTCCGATTGGGAATAAACAGATCGGGCGTCGAAATTCTTAGAGGTCATGAAGAGCGCCAGTCCTTCAGTACTAGCCGCCGTTGTAAGGGTTTCATTTCCGTCTGGATCCCCTTCGATATCAGGAGGGACTGGAAGCGCGTCAACCACAGCAGTGATGCACTTTATCGTTTTCTCAATAGATTTGCCTTTCACAAAAGTTCGGCGGCCAGCGTACAAGGAAGGCAGGACATGCTGAAGAAAAGCAGATGGCTCGAGCAAAGAAGCCAAAGACGGTGTTACGAACAGGATCAAGATCTTGACCAAGGATTTGTTGTCACAATATCTGGGCAGCTCTGAACGTAACCTTTCGGGATCCTGTCTCCGTTAGCCAGGGTTTGATATGCTCGAAGGTGGAATCTAGGAATCTCTAAGACATAGACCAGCTCAGCTGCTACTCACCACAAGGGCCGGACTCCTGGTTAACCAGGTCACACCCGCACGGACAGAGCGACTTGTATCGTCTGAATGCCTTGGTGTGATGATCGAAGGATATTGCCCCTTGGACTTTACGCCTGAGAAAGAGGTGACATTTCCATTTGATGATCTTGGTAGTCTGACTCTTCGAAATGTATAATCCTGTAGTTTGATCCTTCGCCAAGCAATGGGACGGCTGCGTTGTGCACTCATACACCGTTTGAAGTTTGCCACGTGAGATGAGCTGGCATGGATTAGTAGCCTGTCTCGAGAGTCGTGAACAAGGACGTTTAGCATAACTGGCAGGTCGACCTAGGTGTTGTTTGTATGGGCGCCGTAGATTCTGTGAGGTATGAACTAAAGCGACGGGAGAATATGAGAAACAGAAGATATAGGATAGTAAAGAAAGCCTTCTCAATCAGTAGAGAGCCTTACGATCGTTGTTACTGTAGTGCAAGTACGGGAGTGACCGTCATAAGAGCTCATAGAAGCTCTGCACGTCGAGGCAGGTGGATAAACTCAATGCTGTGTCTGACACCAATAAAGCAGGTGAGAGAATTCCAATGGAGGTGCAATCAAGTTCTCTGTCAGACCAAACCCCTTTTTCATCTCTCACTGCTCTGCCCACTTGGGGCCAAGATCAAGAAAGGAGCGAATCAATTACACAGATTAAAACTAAAGCACGAGCTATTCATACAGCAGATATTTGCTAGCTCCAAGGAGATGATGGAACAAGTTCTGAAATTAATTTCGATGTGTCTGTTCTATCAATCTCATACCACTTGGGACTTCTTCTCATGTTATACATAACATACCTTGGATGGCAAGCGGCTGCACTAGTGCTCTACCACATCTTGCTCAAGAATATCATTGATAATACACATAAATCCTGAACGACAGATCCTTATCTCCATATCTCAAATTTCAACAGTCAGATACAAATCACCACTGCTTGATTTACTCGGGGTCAATCGGGCTTTCGAGGACGGCGACCGTTGTGGAACAATGAGATTCACTGTTCTCGTACTAGTGTTCGTGACTTCGTTCCCAGGCTGATCGATACCTTGCAAAGGGGGTCCCTTGTTACCACTTGGTTTGCTACCGAGTTCGCTCAAACTGGCTTTGGGAGGCTTCGATACGGGAGGAAAGGGAAATTCGACAATGTAATCGGAGAGGTATCCGTCGGAGGAGGTGGTATCTGTTTGCACAAAGCTTAGTTCTGCGCGAACAAGCTGATCCCTGGTTTGTCGCAAAGGTGAAGTTGATGGTGGTACAAAGGCCGACGAAGGGGACAGATTGAGGCTTGCTCGAAGCTGGGCAGGCCTATCTGCCTGTCTGGATATGGCGGCCGAACGAGGAATCTGAGGATACCTCAAATCTTTAATGGGACTCTCTTGCGCCGGTGAGACGCTACGAATGTTGAGGGGGATAATAGATGTCGTCATTGTGTTGACGTCCATCCCAAGCTGTTTGGTTGCTTCTTCAGGCGTTGTGTCTTCCTCAATCTCGGTATAGATGGAGCTGGTGGAACTCTTTCTTTCCGTGCGACGGCTCACAGGCAGCGTCTGTCTACTTGCAGGAGGAAGCGACGCTGATTCAGATAGCGCCGGGAGATTCCGTGGCTGTGTAGGAGGCTCCACGGGCGGAGTGTTGATGACCCGAAGAGGGAGTCTCGCTGGAGGTTTTTTCCTCAGGACCTTTCTATTTGCGTACATTGACGATGGGGGCAGCTTGTGCTCAACGACTGGAAGTGCCAGTTGCGATATAGCGGGTGACCGGACGTTAACAGACGGCGAGGCCAAGTCAACGTTGCCGTTGTCGTAGGTTGGAGTTAGAGGAATCCTTGCTGTCTGTCCTGCAGACTTAGCAGGGCTTTCGGGCAATGCGGGTAATCTCAGGTTCGGAGGTGGGCCCCGTGGCCGATATGACAGAGGTGGTTTCTCAAGTATGAACGGCTGATTGTCGACGAAAACTCGCTCTGGTTCTTGTGGTTTTGCTTCCGGCTCGTCGTCAAACTCGGTGGCCTCACTGACAGGTCGCTGCGTATATCTCCTTCGTTCCCTAGTGGCGTCGATATCGAGTGGTGCGGGCCAAAGAACTGCAGGAGGCACCTCTGGTAGTAGCCGCGAGAAGCTTTGTTGAGAGGATGCGCTGACAGGGGAGTGTTCGCCGGGCATTTTTGGCGAGACGGCTATACCAATCTCTTCTGGTCTGATGCTCTTCCGCCAGAAGCTTCGCCTCTTTTCTTCCGTCGGTTGTTGCGGAGCATAGAAGCGACCCGGAGTATTTGATACTGTAGGGAGAGTTCCAAGGTTACCGAGTGTTGGCTGAGTCTGTTTCTCAAAGCTCTGAGGGTTTGCAGGTGGTGACGGTTCGATTAATCGTGAGCGCCTTTGGCTACGTCGATGCATTTGACGCCGCTTTCGCATCCAGAATGAAAGAATGAGCAGCCCAACAACGATAGCAATAGTCGCGGCACCCCCGATCGCAATCCCTGCAATTTGAGTGGTAGAGAGACCAGATCTAGGAGTTGCCTGTTCCGGCACAGCAGCAGCTCCTGATGTCGTGGAGGACTCGGTCGACCCGCGAGTGGTTTGGTCTACCATAGTATTCGTTGGATTCTCTGTTGGCGCAAGTGAACCTGCAGACGTTGGCCATGCCTCTGATGTTACCATCATCCATGTTGGTGTGTCCGTGGCCATCACAATGGTGCTGACCTCCATGGTGGAGGTTGGATTTCCTATAGTTGCGGGTAGGCTCTCCATAGCGGTAGATGTCGTGGTGGAAGGCCCAATGATTGTAGCAGTGATGGTTCGAGCAGTCCTCGGTTGAGCTCCTGGCACAGAGTTGCAGACGCCGTAAACCTCCACGTCCTCCTGATCGTCTGCTATACAAACAGAGACCACACACTGTACGGCACCTTCGCCAATTGTAAGTCCCGAAATGTTAGATTGTGCACAGAGGTATTCGATGTCTGAGGTATTTGCACATGTGGCCCCTGGATAGTTTTGGCTTGCAAACTGTTGGATGCAGGCAACTGCGCAACTGGGAGTAACAGCGAGAAGGGAGGGAGGCAGGCAGGTGTTTGTCGACGTCTGTCGGGCCCGGAGCTTATCGCCATCGATAGGATTCGACAACAGCCTGTGGAAGATCCGCGTATGGTCATCCATATCAACAGGGTCGCCTTTGTCATCGTTGAGGCATCATGGGGATCGAAGTGGCCGTTTGCGGAAATAGTTCTGGGAACAGTGACTACACAGTACATGAGCAGGTAAGTAGCAAGCAGCGCCAAAGCGCAACAGTGTTCAATGACAATGGAAAACACCGTGAACCTCGCATATGTAACGCGAGAGAGGACCTGGGAGTCTTTTAATGGTGAGGGTGCCCTTGTTCTTACCTCACCCCTCGACAAGGGCGGATGTAAAATTTTTGTCCCTGGAAAAGGACATTCTAACGGAAGCATGACGATGGCGGCTGGGATATTGACCTGCGATAGGCCGTATAGCCTGAAACCCATAGAGCATCATGGTGGACGTGGTCGAATGTGAGGCATTGGATGAAGCATAGTCGCTGAGCCCAGCGGTTAGGGCTGGTCGTAACTGACCACGACACTCTCACGTGACTGTTGGTTCCCCCTGGCGAACCCCCAGATGGGGAAATGTCTGTAGGGCTCCGTAGGGTTCGGATATGACCGGCGGTTACAGGGCGCTTCCACCACTCGATTAGGATGAGTGGCATCATATTACTACGCAAAGACTTTGGGACTTTTTTGACTCTATTATATCGCGGTCTTCAAGTTGTAGCGCAATCCCAATATGTGTCCGTACTCTCAAGGCTTGCGACCGGTGTTCCCCACTGGCACGACCTCATCTCATCGACACTGTTTGCGCCAGCACCACAGCACTGCGCTACTTGGGGATTTTCTCATGCTGCGACAGGCCACCAAGGGTACTTTCCTGGTCATGCACGACTTAAGATTGCCAATCAATCGGTTCAGCCCTAGATGACGCATCTTGACCGTTGAATACGGGATTAAGGGTTGGCGTCACCAGGCTTCCACAAATCTCCAAAGTGGTATCCAGGAGGCTCGGACATGGCAGTTCCGGAGCTCGTCTTGGTCTCACCATTTCCCGCGAAATCGCTAGACCAGGGGAAGAAAGCTCATTTAAACGATCAAGGAATAAAATATTAGAAATTCATATGAATCGGATGTAAAATGTGTCTCATTATGCTGAATTAAGACCTCTGCATCCAACCACGCACAGCAGAAAGGCGACCTTTGTGCACCGAAGTTGGACGGAGAGGCTCCCATCCGTCTAGCAAACAAGTCGGTCCCTCGGCCAAGGTCACACCACCCTATCCAGTCTCAATGCCCAGTTTCATGCCAGCAGGATCTTTGTGATTTCCGTGCGAGATCGAACTCGTGCCGAGGATGAGATTGTGGGCATTATGAGGAGTGTGTTGTGTTTTGTATCATGCTCCGAGAATCAAAAGCAGGTGGGGGATATCAAGATAAGACGAGGTGATGTCGGCCCTCGACAGAAAGAGGAAAGGTTTCGACGGTTGATGACATGACATTAGGTTCTTATCACTCAGTATTTCAGGATAATGTAGCTGTTGCAATGTTGTTAGCTTCAATTCCGGGCGAAGACGACCTGGCGCGTCTTTCTACGTACAGAGCGTGAATGATACCCGGGATATAACCCAGGATTGTCAACAGGATGTTGATGAAAAAGTCGGCATTGCAACCTCGCTCGAGAAAGACACCAAGGGGTGGAAGGATGATGGCAAGGATAATCTTGCAGATGTCGCTAGAGGTAGCTGGTCAGCTCTGGTGGGCGCACTGCGCGGAAGGGGACGGAAGGTGGAAGGCGGAACAAGTGACTTACGATGCTGTGAAAGGCATGTTGATTCAATTAGAAAAGGCCTGCGAAAGAGGTGTTTGGAGTTGAGTGGGCGTAAAAGGCGAAGCTTGCGAGTAAAAGCAACAGTTTCTGTAGACAACGGGATGGTGAGAAGGAAGAGTGCGCGACGGAGAGAAGATACCAGTCAGTTTTAGATGAGATGCGCGGATGGCTGGGGAGAGGCAAGTCACTTAACAGGCTTTGGTGGCACGGTGGGCACCGTGACTCGGATTACGAACAGGGCACACGAGGCGCCTGGGAACATCATCCTGCCTTCGGCAGGGCCAGCCCCCTTAACCTTGTTTAACTTGGAGGCCTCCTTAGGCAGCCTCAAAGGCACTTGACGTCCTTGATTGCAGCCACCCATGACGTTTCTTTCAGCGCCAACCCCCTTCAACGCGCCTTTTTCCTTCCATCCCTCTCCACTTATGGACTACTATGACCAATCGATCGCCAAACCAGGAGATTACCAACTCGGATATGGATTAGACGTTTTAGCATGGTGCATCGTCATCACAGCACCGCCACAAAATGTGGCTTGACGCTCCGTGATCTCCATCGCCCTGCCACTCTTTTCCCTTTTTCCTTCCGCCACACCGTCATCTCCTGATCAATTTGACGTGGAATGCTGTGGCTGAGGCATTGAAAGCCTCAGCATGAAACCGCAGATCGAAGAAAAACTCCTCACGAGACACGTTTCAACGTGGTAAGGTCAATCTTCGACACTTGTACAGCGTGAGCAGAGGGAATAATCGATCCATTGCCCAGACTTACTTGGACCAGTCCCCGGGTTCACCCCAAAGCGAGGACGGCGAGCCGGCGAGACGGGTGAAATGCTGTGAAGTAGGGACTTGGCACCGGTGGTGCTGGGGTGACACATTTCGTCATCACGGCAACAGAAACACCACAAACGTGGTGGGGGGTTGTTTTGGTGATTGTTCTATATCGGGCTACAGCACACTCACCCGAGAAAAACATCTCAGCCGTGAATTCGTATAATGATTTAGCCGAGTGGCACAAGCGAACCAACTAGCCTCCTCACTTCAATCCTACCTTTAGCTCCAGCCCACCAAAAAGAATGCGTTGTGCTTTTGGTGCGGCTACCATTCAAGATTGTTGGTAGGGCAACTCACGGGCTATAATGTCTATCTATCGATCTCGGATCCTGCCCCTCTTCTGCCATGAGTGAGGACTTCTGAGCCAGATCTAATTTGCTGAAAGAAGCAATGAGTCCAAGCTCGACGAAGCCTCAGTTCCTTCGGTCTCTCTCGTCTACCACCGCACTTAAGCCGACGAAAGACAAGCCTCGACTCTATATTGTCCTCTACCCCCGGAGCGCCTCGTCTACAAATTCTTCCTTTCGCAACGCCCTCAGCTGTGACTCTTATCACTGGTCTCTCATTGTCGGCCCTCAAACCGCCCGGCGAACTGATCAAGGGATCCGCTACCATGTAGCGCACCTCGATCACGACACCAACCGGCACGTTTACGAAGAACAAGACATCCCTACAAACCCCATTGCCCAGAGTGCTCTGGTGCGTGTCGCCGTGTGCAAAGTCACGGACGAAGAGCGTCTGAATTCCATTCTTCGAGATCTTCGCATTCCCGCGGACGACTCGGCATTCAATTGTCTCACCTGGGTCCGCGAGGCATTTTGCAAACTCCACGATGATGGAAAGTCTGTGAAGAGTTATCTCAACGCAGACGATTGGCAAGCTGTGGAGATGTGCGCGCGGAAATACTGCAAGCGGAAGAGGGATGCGGGTAGGTTTCAAGAAGGGAATGCCCCTGCTAACAACAACGGCGCCAATACTGCGTGGAGTGTGGATAAGATCAGCACCTTCAATTTTTGGGAAAACCGTGAGACGACGGCCTAGGTGTCGGCAGAGTATGCGGGTCTAGGTTTAGGGCAGTCCGATGCGCATAGACAAGTGTTGACTGGCATCAAAGGAAGACGTCGAGATGGAGGCGTCGAGTGGACCTTGCCTTATTCCATGGCATACGTTCCTCAAGTACACCAAACGCAACATAGCACGTATCCCCAATTCCTTTGAAGAAGTTATCGTTTTTCTTTTAGACATCTGTGAGTTGCCCTCCGGAGCGTCGCATCACTACGAGGTACTTCCAACATATTCACTAGAATCAAGTACCACAGGGACAGACTCGGGGACATACATGGAGCTCACTCACTCACCACAAGACCAGCGCAAGTCAGCAAACAAGTCAGAGAGGAGTATTTACGGGAATTACGAGAAAAGAAGTTGAGGTCGAGCTTCCCGACGGAGAAAATGGGCTCATCTACTACGAAGTACCGACCGAGTTTTTTGCATTTTGAACGCTTCTTTGTCTTTTCATTCGTGATAACGGCGCGCAACGCAGACCGAGTGCGCCGCCCTCTATTAAATGTTATATATTTTTGACCTTTGTATAAAATCAACTCAGATGCGCATAGGGAATAGCATTGCATGCACCATTCCACCAAGCACGAAAAAGGTTCGCGTAGTCGTTGTCCTGTTCCACAGCTCAGTCAGTAATCAGTCGGTCAGTCCATGAACGAATAACCTGCAACGTGCCGAACACGGAAATCTATTGAAATATATTCAATTCATGTCACTAACCGTGTGCGACGAGCGCAAATCCCTCGTAGACATACAAGCCCATCTATCTGTAGGCCTGTCTAGTCGTCTGGTTGTCAAATTGTCTCCTTTCTTTCCCCGCTTTCCTTTGGTCCCTGCCGAAGCTGTACTCGATACTTCGTAATATCTAGCACAACATGTACACGTATGTGCCGTGGGTTGGGCTCTCGAGAGACATACGTGACCAACCATACTGACTTGACAAAAGGAGACAATTGACTGGACGGTCGGAGTACAGAATCAATCGGCATTGAGTGATTGGCTCGGCAGCAGTGCGAGGAGCTTAGACTGTCCTCGAGCACGGCTTCCGTTATTCCCCTATTTGGTATGCGAGTGAAATGGTCATTGATCGTGACTGTGAGCGCTGAGTATTGATGTACTTCTTTATGTGTAGATGACCCACGAGTATCCCATGCCCGTTGCGAGTTGCGCACAAGATTTATCAAAGCCTGAAAGCCCGCAATGAGCGGGACAATCGCAGGCAGCACGAGTTCGAAGACTGCAGGACGAATGATATCCCCATTCAAAAAGCACACCGTCTGTTTCGTTGTGCATAGTCCATGATGAGGTATTCCCGATTCAGATCCCACAATCCCAAGTCCTAGCCTTAGCCCTTGCCCAGAACGAACCCTGAGACGGTGAAGTCCTTCCCATGTTCCCTGCCCACGAGAAAACCAAAACACCCCGTATATCGCCGTGAATGGGCCATCGTACAAACGCCGAGTAGCAACGCTTCTGCCGAGTCGCAGAGAAACAAAAGCATAAGATATTGTATTTCCCGCCACGCATGTCACTCTCTTCGCACTTGGAAATGCCACTTCAGATCATTCAGGATCATGATTCCTTCTCTAGAGGCCGCGAAGCATCACGGTCCGCTCTCCTTCCAATTTGGCCGCGTTGCGGTCCTTGTCCGCTTTTCTAGCGTCTTCGAGGCCTTCACAATTATGAGACTCCAACATACGGTGCTTTCCGCAGAAGCGCTTCTGGCAAAATCCGCAGTCCCCCACAATTGGTTGAGCCGGTGCTTTACACCCATCTTTAGAACACCGAGGCTTGTTCGACTTCCTCTTCGTTGGTGTGGCCGCGCCCGAGGGTATGGGTGTTGATGATGTTGATGCTGGTGTGGATGGTGATGGTTGAGCGGCGCTCATCTCCGGTGCTGGCGCCTGGGGTTGGGGTTGTGATGCATCTATAGGTGTGGTACTTCGTGACGGCGCAGACAGCTTAAGTGTTGATGACTCTTGGAGCTTGAGCTCTCCCACTGTGGTTGAGGGTTCAAGATGCCTCCCATCCAGCATGAGCTGAACGTCTGCTGGTAAATTGGTAGAGGCAGAGAGGAATTCCAGGACATTGGAAACAGTGTGTACGGGTCGCACGTTCAGTTTGATGGCTGCAGGGACACTTGTTAGTTTGCCATCAGGAAACAAAATGGAATCCCATGAGGAGAGGCTCACTCTTTTCGCCGCTGATTTGCACCTGGATGGCCATATTGTCAGCCGGAAGGTCTTTGCCGGTGCTGGAGGTTGCGGAGCCAGATCGTGAGCGATTCATGTTGAATGTGAGATTTGATGTGAGGAAAAAGGATGTAGGTTGAGGAGCAGGGGATCTTTATGTGGGTTGGAGATTGCGGTTGAGGAGGATCCGGCGCAGGTAACCAGGCTCGTGACCGATGACGAATGGGCGATTAGACCAGTGCTGAGTGGAGTACTGGTAAGGAGATAGCGTGACGGTGATTAGAGGGAGGCAAGAGTATAGAAGGCAGATGATGATCTGGCTATGTGTGTGCGGTTTCAGCGGCCTGTTGGAATGAGATTGAGGTTGGATAAAGTGAGGATAGAAGAATGAGACAGTGAGGTTGGTGCAGATGAGTCGTGTAATGTACTGCCTGGGTAGTAGCGAGCTTGCTAGTCAGATGGACAATCAAGCCAGGGGACAAGGCGACAAGATGAGGCAAGCAGGTGGCTAATGGGGAGGTTAGTGGTATGTGGGAACTAGTGACAAAGGTGGCTGCTTGGGGACATTGAGGCGAAGGTCAGATACGAGTGGTCCTCGTACTTACCGAGTAGCTGAGTATGACGGGGGATCCAGTGGCTCGGAGTTTGACAACGAACGTATGGTGGATGGTAAATACGGAGAAAGGGACCCAAATTGACCTAAGTTTGAGCCACCTAGCACCCACCAGCGCCCAGGGCAACTCTAGCAGTGACAGTGACAGTGACCGCTACTGACCAGTTGGTTCCCAGGTCCCAGGGGCCCAAGTAAGGGCTAAATAAGTGGGGACCCTGTGGAAGACAGTGGCAGGTCCAAGAATGAAAGAGACCGAACAAGAGCGAGATAAATCCACGGCAGGAGCGACACAAAGACTG